GAAGGTGAGAGCCTGCTGGGCGCCCAGCTCCCCGCTGTCCCCGCCGCCTGGCTCTGCCCTGCGTGCCCACCCCCTCTGCCCCATGCGCTCCGCCCTGCTCTGTGTCGAGGCCCTGGGTGAGCTCCTTCTGGGAGGGGTGAGTGGTTCAGGGGGATGGGGAGAGCCCTGCAGACTTTGGGGGGGGTGTGCGTGTGTGTGTGTATGTGTGTTTTAAGATTTTATTTATTTAAGAGAGAACAGAGTGAGAGAGCACGAGACAGGGGAGGGTCAGAGGGAGAAGCAGACTCCCCAATGAGCGGGGAGCCTGAGGCGGGGCTCAATCCCATTTGAGAGAGAACAGAGTGAGAGAGAGCGAACACGAGACAGGGGAGTGTCAGAGGGAGAAGCAGACTCCCCAGTGAGCGGGGAGCCTGAGGCAGGGCTCAATCCCACGACCCTGGGATCCTGATCTGAGCCGAAGGCAGACGCTTAGCCGACTGAGCTACCCAGATGCCCCTCTAATGCCACGTTTGAAGAAAAGTTCCTAATGTTAAAACCACTGAGGCAATAGACTAAACTATCCTATACAATGACCGACCTAACTGCCAAGGCACTACTCTGTTACGTGAGAAATAGGACTAGCCAAACCCTCCCTGACCAGGGATAGTAGGAGATGAGGATAGTATAGTAAACAAATGTAATTTATTGAAACCCCAATTTTAGCCAGTGGTTTCAACCGTCCATCTCTGTTTTTTACCCCAACAACTAGTAAAACAGAATTGAACTTCTGGTGAGATGTACAGGTAGTAACAGGCAAGCCAAAATGAAAAGCCAAAGATCTGATTATGTGAATCTAGACAGCTGGCTCCTATGCCTTTAGTTGTTAATCATGACACACTAAACAAAGAGCAGACCAGAACCTGTCAGATGTGGATATAAATGGACATGAAATCAGCCCCCTAACCCACACTGTCACATCCCCCGTGGTAGGTAGGATGCCATATTAACCACAATTCCCAAGAGACAATAATAATAGCTAACCACAAAGCCACTTTAGTTAATTCCTACTACAAGACTCTGATTCAGAATTTAGGTCATTCTCTTTTAAACGTAACAGAAAGGGGAGAGCAGCCAATGGTATGTAGGCCTGTGCAACTCACCCGTGCAGAACTCCTTGCTCACATTGTGGGGCACTGTGATCCGCCGATAGACAATGGGCTCTGACTCCAGGATGTTCTCATCGTGGCGGTACCGAGTTGGCCTTTCATTTGGGATGCCCCGGGAACGGGTACCGCTTCTCCTCTCATAGGTATCAATCTCCTCAAACACAGCTGCCTTGTCAAAAAGGGCCAGGTTCCCTTCAAAATCAAAATCTGTGTCTGGGATCTCTTCGATATCATCCCCGAAGCACTCGTCATCTTTATTCTTCATTTGGCCATTCTTTAAGCCACTTTTCTTTGGAGTTGCCTGATTTGGGTGTCTGCTACTAGATGACCCTAGAGAAAAAACAGGGACTAAGGTCAGTGTGCCCACAGAAAGCACTCAGTGGAAATGGAAAATACATCAGTCTTTTATGGAGAGTGTTACAGGAATCAAAGTGAAGATAGTAAAGGTAAGCTATTTCTAGATCATATTAAGTAGCAAAAACTACCACAAATCTCACAGAATAATAGATTTCATATATTACCCAAGTAACAGTGAATATAAAATAAGTACGTCTCCTGGAAATCTTAACCAGTTCTATCCTTCATAAGGAAATTAGTTGGGGCGCCTGGGTGGCTCAGTCGTTAAGCGTCTGCCTTCGGCTCAGGTCATGATCCCAGGGTCCTGGGATGGAGCCCCGCATCGGGCTCCCTGCTCCGTGGGAAGCCTGCTTCTCCCTCTCCCATTCCCCCCAGCTTGTGTTCCCTCTCTCACTGTCTCTCTCTGTCAAATAAATATTTTTTTTAAAAAAGGGAAATTAGTAATGACAGAGGCTTTTTTGACAACTGAATATCAAAAAAGTAGAAGGGGAAGAGTACAGCAGTCTCTTCCCACAGGTCTGGGTGGTTTGTCTAGCAGCAGTTAACAGAGAAATAACCCCCCCCCCCAAGTAAAATAAGGCCAACTCCTTGTAACCTGAAGCTCACAGGAACAGAATATTCAACTGGCTCCTAATTCCATGCTTACCAAGCAAGCAACCTTCTGATTTTTAATTTGATCTCAGCCTAGACCCCAGCAGGAGAAAATCTCTGCTTTAGAGAGATTCCAGATCTTGAGCCAGGCATACATCTATCACTGTAAGTTGGTATTTTGATTTATAAACCTGTTTTAAATCTCTTAATTAATGTGATCTCTTTTCTCAACTTAACACTTGTCGGTAAGCAATTTCTGAACCATCAAATATGACAAGGACCATACTGACCTGATTCTACAGTGACCATACCAAGATGCCCAGCAACACCAACAGTAGGCTCCCTCTATCTGGCCACTACACATCAGTTAACTACTCTTCTGGCAGCCAAGACAGAACATCCCACAGAATTCTCCCAACCATCCATTCCCAGATAACCCTGAATTGAGTTTATACTCTGACCCAATCTGACCACCCTGAAAGGGTGGACCAGGTTATTGGTATGCCAAATGGAACCTCCAATATGGTTTAACTAAATGTAATGTACTTCCTCTTGAAAGACTGAGCTCTCAATTATTAAAAATACTCAAGTAGAGGGGCGCCTGGGTGGCTCAGTCATTAAGCGTCTGCCTTCGGCTCAG